AAAAAAAAAAAAAAAAAAAAAAAAAAAAAAAAAAGGATCCAAGGGCTCGTGTGTCCGAAGAAGCAACATCTTATGCCGAAACAAAATGTCCAAGTGTCTTGAAAGGAGGTCTGCAACGGTCTTGATCCGGTTTTGGAGTAGGTGGTGGAAGCGGTCTTCAATGGCTGCAAGGGGTAGAAGTCCAAGAAGCGTAGCAGTACTCCAAATGTCCAAAGTCCAAGTGCTATGGTGCGTCCGTTACATGAACTGCAACGAGGTCTGATCTGGAAGCAGGTGAGTCGCAGACTGATGCAAGTATGCATGTCGCAAGTTGCTGCTCCAGTAAGTCTGCGAGTCGGGATGCCGACCGATGAAACAGCATGGCGGCCAAACCAGCTGCGTAATCTCCATGAACAGTGAGGCAGCAGGCCATCGTCCTAGTGCGCTTGCCATTAGATCCTTTATCGTCGGCCTCACGCAGGTCCACAAGCATTGGACAAGAAAGACAAGGTAGTGGAGAGGACAGATGGGACAAGGCTAGGCGAAGGTAAGGGCAGATCAGACATCAGGAATCAGGGTCAAGGAGAGGGTGGCTGGGTTCAAGGGTGTGTGTAGAGCAGGGTTGCGAGGGTTTAGCGGGGGTTTATGCCATAGTTATATAGGTATCTAGGACATAGGATTAGGACGATCATAGGCGCGAACAACTTTCATGGCGTTCTTAAGATTAGAGAGGTTCCCATGTAGATTCTTCGTCGGGGTGATTGGTTCCAGATGATCAGATACCTGAGTGGTTCGTCGGCCTATGATGGTTTTGACAACTAATTCAGGGCCTGTGGGTAACATGATTGGTGGAGGTCTAGGATATGGGCGGTCGGCGAATTGGGGCGGGGATTCATGGTATTCTTTTAGGTACTCTACATTGAAGACTGGGTGGACACGACTCATGTCAGGGGGAAGTTGGAGTTTGTAGTTGACGGGGGAGGTTTGTTCAATGATGGGGAAGGGACTGAGCCATTTGTTGGAGAGTTTCTTGGATAAGCCGTGTTCGGGTTCAAAGCGTTTGGCGGAGAGCCAGACTTTGTCCCCTGCTTTGAATGACACGTCGCGTCTATGTTTGTTAGTCTTGTTGGCTTGTTGTTCTTGGGTTCGTTCAATGGCTTCGGAGGCTTCTCTCAGGAGTTTGTTCATTGTTGCTACCCATTCATTGAGAGAGGKGCAGGGGGTGGATGGGTTAAGTTGCGAAGGGAACAAGAAGTCAGAGGGCAAGCGAGGGCGGTAGCCAAGGTCGAGGTAGAATGGGGACATGTCGGTGGAAGGACAAACAGCGTTGTTGTAGGCAATCTGCGGCTGTGAGCAACTGATCCCAATCGTGTTGGTGTGGATGACAATACTTCCGCAGGATTCTTTGGAGAGTATCGTTCATCTTCTCTTTTTGTCCAGCGGTCTGTGGGTGGAATGCAATGCTATACTTGAGCGTGGTTCCGTAGGCCGTGAAGAGATGTTTCCAGAATTGTGAGAGGAAGCATGGATCACGATCACTGATGATGTTCTCGTGGAGGTCGTGATGGCGAGCAACATGGTCGAAGAAGAGTGTTGTGACGTCTTTGGCACTATGCAAGGTCGTGCAAGGGATGAAGTGGGCACGTTTGGTCAAGCGACAGACAATGACGTAGATGCAATCATGCCCGCGGTCGGTCTTGGRRAGGCTGCACACGAAGTCCATGGAGATGGACTGCCACCGGTGAGTTGGGATGGGCAATGATTGGAGCTTGCCGGGTTCGGCCCGGTTCGAGGGGTTGACAGCTTGACACGTGGGCCATGAGCGAATGTATGCTTTGACGTCGCCGAGCAGGGAAGGCCAGTAGAAGTAGCGGGAGATGGTGTTGAAGGTTTTCTGGAAATCGAGGTGTCCTGCGGTCTTGGCGTCGTGGTGCTCGACCATGAGTTGAGTACGGAGACCACGTGCGTCGGGGATGCAAAGCCAGCGAGTGCCTTTGGTATCGATGTAGAGAAAGTTGTCGTGAAGGGAGTAGTCAAGGACTGGGTCAAGATCGCAGAGCTTGTTGTAGATGGTGGCGAAGTCTGGGCAAGAGAGGTAGCCTTGGGTGTATCGGCGATGGAATGATGGGAGGAGTTTGATATGAGTCATGGCGGCGTAGACTTTCTCGGGGGCTTGTGGTCGGGTCGTCGAGAGAGGGCATCCGCAACGCGGCTCCTTTTGCCAGGGGTATGGCAAATAGTGAATGTGAATTGGGCAAGGAAGTTTAGGCAGCGGGCTTGGCGTGGAGTGATATCTTTCTTGGAGAGGACGGACGAGACGATGGTGTTGTGAGTGCGGATGGTGAAGTATTGTTCGTCAAGGTACGGGCACCAGACTGTGAGGGCGTGAATCATGGCGAGGAGTTCCTTCTCGTTGGAGGGGTAATTCATCTCTGCAGGAAGGAGCTTCTTGCTTGCGAAGGCGATGGGGTATTCTCCAGGTGGAGCCTCGGGGTGAGTGGGCGAGTCCTTGATGGAGGGGGTCTCGACGATGTCACGGGGGAAATGTTGGGACAATACGGTTCCAATAGCGAAGTCGGAGGCGTCAGTGGTGACATAGAAATGGTGAGTGGGGTTGGCGATCGATCTTGAGGACATGGGCTGTGGTGATGGTTTGCTTGAGTAAGTCGAAAACATGTTGGCGGCAATCGTTCCAATGGAAGGGCTCGTCCTTGCGGGTGAGTTCGTGGAGAGGGTAAGAGATCTCGAAAAAGTTGCGCATGAACGGGCGGTAATAGTTGGCAAGGCCGAGGAAGGAACGGAGTTGGAGGAGGGTCTTGGGCGGGGGGTACTCGAAGAAAGTTGTGACCTTCGAGGGGTCCATAAGGATGCCTTCAACGGAGACAATGTGGCCGAGGTATTCGCCGCTCGAAGCGGCAAACGTACATTTGTTGAGCTTGGCGTAGAATTTTTGCTCTCGGAGGATCGAGAGGACTTGGCGGAGGTGCTGAACGTGGGACTCGAAGGTGGGGCCGAAGATGCAGACTTCGAGGGGCAGACGTCGACAAGGATGTCATCAAGGGAGGCGACGACACAAACTTCGAGGAGTGGTTCATGGTAGATTGGAAGGTGGCGGGGCCATTGGTGAGTCTGAATGGCATCACAAGGAACTCGTAGTGCCCGAACCGAGAGCGGAAGGTGGTTTGTGGGTCTCCTCTCGCGGATGCGGATCCAGTGGAAGCCATTGCGAAGGTCGATCTTGGTAAAGTACTGGGCTCCACGGAGACGATCAAGGAGCTCGGAAATCTAAGGTAGGCGGTACTTGTTTTTTATCGTGATCCAGTTCAAGGCGCGATAGTCTATGCACATGCAGAGAGTTGTGAAGTTCCACCTTTCTTGATGAAAAGGCAGCTGGTTCCGAAGGGGGATGAACTTGGCTTAATGAACCCTTTTTCAAGGAGTTCACTGAGTTGCTGCTTGATTTCTTTGGCTTCGGGGACAGAGAGTTGGTATGGAGGGCGGCAAGGTGGAGAATGTCCGGGCTCCAAATCGATGGTATGGGATACACCACAATCCGGAGGTAGTCCGGCGGGTAAGGACTCAGGAAAGACGTCCTTGAACTTGTCGAGGATTGAGGTGATGGCAGGGTCGGAGGGGGGGGCTTGATCGGGTTTGTCCATCGGGAGTAAGTCCTTGGGACTTTCGTGATCAAGGACAAGAAAATAGTAGGCGGAGTTGGGTTCAGGCAAGCCATGTGAAGGAATTGGTGCGGGGTGACGGAGCCTTGGGAGGTTGGATATGGGAGATAGGGGACGTAAATGGTTGTATCGGGGGGGTTGGTGAGGCGAAGGAAGTTGGGGTGGAATGCGTATGGCATGTAGCGGTCCAGCCACGAGGTTGTTAAGACGATATCGCACATCAAGTGCATGACATTGAACGAGACCTGACTGCGGAGGGTTCCGACGGTCATGGTGGTCTCGGGAACCGTGCGGTCTACTACGACGGCGGTGTCTTTGTCCCCTAGGCGAATCGTGATCGGGGAGTCATAGCCGGTAGAGGTAAGACCGACTTTGCAGACACACTCGTCGGTGATGAAGTTACCGGTGGCTCCAATGTCGAGGAGGGCCCGGAACTTACTTGTAGACGCACCAAGGGTGGCGACGATGAATTTGAGGTGGAAACGAGACGAGTTGGCGGTGGAGATGATGGTATTGAGGCAGCGTTGTTCGTTGCCTAAGCGGACAAGCCAATCATGTCGAGCTTGTTCCTCAACAACATCGGAAAAGGTGACAGTGGATGGGTTTGGAAAACAAGTAGAGGAGCGTTGGGCAGTGGGAGGCGTTTGCGACGCCTGGGAGTTGTCCGGTGGAGGGGGCGTCACCGGAGAGGATTGTCGATGCCAGATCAATGTCCTGGGGATTGTGTTCATGATGAGGAGGGACCCACGCTTGCCGAGGGCGATGATACGGAGGTTGCGGGTCGAGTGGAGGCGGACTGGCGGGTGAATTGTGCGGCGTTGGGGCAGTTGATTTGTTGGTGCCCCAATTGGTGACAACGGAAGCAGCCCCCTTTTGCTTGGAGGTAGGTGCGCTCCTCGGGGGTAAGTTGCTTGAGGCGGGAGGGTGGGGTAGATGAGGGTGGTCGGGAGCTGCGATCTCTACGCTCCATCCTCATGAATTGGACGACATTGAGTTCCTCGGAAATGAGGGATGAAGAGTCGAGTGAATCGAAAGATGCGTCGGGGTCAAGTGTGGTGAACTCGTCTAAGTGACGGAGGTGGTGTCTTCAGGGGCGATGTGGTGGAAAAAGCGGGTGCGGAAGGGGGCGTGCGCGGGCTGGTGGTGGGGGTGGAGTCGTCGATCGTGGTGAAGCATGCGAGATTGGTCAGCAAGGGGCATGTCGGGTTCGTGGGCGAGGGCGGTTGCAAGGTCTTTGTGGCATACTCGTTTGATGCGGGAGATGAACACAAAGTCGAAAATGACGGTGGTGGGGAGGTGGTGGCGGAGGGAGCGGACGTATTGGACGAAGCGGTCCGTGGGACCGGTCTAGCGGAGGTGGCAGAATTGTTCAAGGTAGTCATCAATGGTTTTCTGGGGGCGGAAGGTGGCAGTGAGAAGGTTGGCCCTGACCATAGACTGACATTGGCCAGAGACACTGGGGAGACTTTCACGAGTGTCATCTACGTTGATGACATCTTGATTCCTCCTCCTCCTTCGTCTCCTCCCCCTCCTAATCCATGGATGTTTGCTGGCCTAGCGTCAGTCTCCCGCAGTGCTACATTTGCTCTTGTCTCTTTGGGTCGGTTCTTGGTTCTGATCTTTGCCTTATAGGCATTCGACAGTTTGGTATCGGAGCAAACCTCAAGAGTGTGGTCGGCTCATCAGTAAAGTTGTCATCTTGACCTGAAAGGTGTGTTCCTTGATTGATGAATTAATTGATTGATTGATTGATTTATTGATTGATTGATTGATGGTTTGCCGTTAATTTGTTAACCAATTCCTAATAATTAATCCTTGCAATTGATTTTCATTCAGGGTCTACAGGCATTGCACTGATTAGTACTAATTAATAATTAGCACTAATTAGGGTCTGGGTAATTAAGCAAGTGGTGCTAATCCGGGTTAGGCAGCACTAATTACTGATCAGCGATAATTGGGATTAGCAGTGCTAATTAGGTTCAGCACTAATCTAGATTAGGCAGTACCTAATCAAGGTTGGGCTGCACAGATTGGTGGTGAGGCGCTATTTAGGGTTTGGCTAATTACCTCACTGCACAGATTGGTGCAATGAGCCTCACTGCTCGACGCCATGACCACACACACACACATTGAGAGATCACACAAAATCCACACTGGAGCCCGGAGATGCAAAGTCTAGATATGCGCAGCTTAGAAATTCCAAAAAATCATCACATTAAACAGTTTCGAAGATTCAGTCACCAAGCACTCGACAGCGCAGAATTCAACATCCCAATACCAGCATCCTCATCAAAGGTAGGTGACTCTCTCTCTCTCTCTCTCTCTCTCTCTCTCTCTCTCTCTCTCTCTCTCTCCCCCTTCTCATCTTCCTCATGCATGGACTCTCTCCCTCTCTCTCTACTTGAGAATCTTGACTCTGAATACATCCACTCCTACTCAACTCTATCCCTACTACTAACTTATGTGGCTATGGTCGCCTTCCCTCTCAGTGCAATGCTGCCCAGCAGGGCTCTCGCACACATGCTACTTGCAGATACTGCACAAGCGCTTCAGCAGCACTTCCACACTTCTCACGAATGAGCAATCTGTCCAAAATGTGGCTGGCCAGTCCTTATATTGACTTGGACTGAGCTTCAACTCGTCCCAGCCTCTGCTTCCTGTGCCTTGACTTGGTATTGGTACCACATGCCCACGGCCTGCTTGGTTCGGAATGTCAAGGCCTGGTAATTCCCGAATTTTCATTGGTGTGCTGCTGCTTGGGCCTGTGAGTCACGACTTTTCACCTGTGGAACATGACTTTTGACTGTGGGATGTGACTCTTGCCTCTGGGACACGACTTTTGCCTGGGAAAGTGTCCTTTGCCTATGGGATATGACTTTTCAATACGACTCTTCAATATGAGACGCGACTTTTGCTTATAGAACGCAACTACTGCCTCTGGGATGTGACTGTTCACCGGGTGCCTGTTGAACTCGACTCCTAAGGTACCCAACTGTGACTTTTCAGAAACTGACCGACTTGGCCTCCCTTGGCCTAGGACCTTGACCCTCAAATTCGAATTTGGGGGCTGCATCGTGGAATGCCTTTAATTAGTAGCGAAGCACTATTTAGGGTTAGGCCTCTAATTACCTCACGCTAACTAGGTGGATTCGTATGCTGAGTTAGGTTAGCAGCGCCCTGGTTACCTTCCGTAAGTAGGACTAATTAAGGCTGAACTCGAGGTTTAAGTTTCGTTTAACCCTAAGCAAAGTGGATTCTCACCTAATTAACTACCATATCGACCTGATTTAGGGTTAATTACGGAGCTTGCTTGTCTACCTGCCGTTCCAATAAATTTCGTTTTTTTTTTCCTCTTTCGTCAATTCGAAGGCCTGTGACTTTCTGTGCGAGGATCAGGGTCCTCGTAGGCCTGAGGGGCCCTGTTGCAAAGGTGCCCGCCCTAAGTGAAGGCGGGCCTAACATATCGCAGGAGGCCCTCGACTGTCAATTTCATATTTGGGGTCCAGGCAGTTGCGACGCGCCAGTTGGTTGAGAGAAACGCAGGCCGAGCAACAAAGACATTTCCAGAGCCTATTGGGCCTTTCCAAAGAATGCAGGCCCTGGGCATGAATCGCAGCCTCATACACTGACAGTTGGGAGGCCCAACTGAACGAGGCCCAGTAGCTGCAGCGCAAACGCAGCATCCTGGGGCCTTCCGGAAGCTTCTGGGCCCAGGCCAGTACAACCAGGCTGCACAAGCAGGCCAGCTTTTTCCATAAAGGAAAGAGCTCTCCCCAGGCAGCCTCATTCAGGCACTCGCATGCTAGCGGCAGCGCTGCTGGAGCAAATGCTCGTGGGCTGCTGCTGGCGCTGAGAGGCGAAGTGCAGCACGTGTGGTCGTGCAGGAAAGAAGGGCGCTACTGAGGGCAGCGCCATAGCCCAACCACCATAGCTGGCGGGCTTGGACTACAGTGAGGCACATGAGTGGTCTTCGGGTGTAAGGAAGGAAGACGTGGGTGTAAAGTCAGGGAAGGGTGAAGGATGATGATGATGATGATGTGAGGGCACATACTTTGTATTGGCGATGGTCGACATTTGGGCGACATCTTCAAGTACTTCGGGTTGCCGCTGATGTCAACAGTTGCATTGTCTATTAGTAGGTCGATCGTAGCTGTGTAGGAGTAGGCTGGGCGCTGAGCGCCAAGTAGGAGTGTGACGGAACTGGACTCTTGTGTTGTTGGCGGAGAGAGAAAGCTCTCCTTGACATTGGTTTTCAGTACTACGAATCTCCATTGGTGTATTATTGGTGCATTATTGGTGCAGTGCTGCTCTCCGGACACTGTGTGACTATCTGGCTTTCAATGTGATGGTGCAACCTGGATTTGTCATCTCGCTGTTGCTTGTTTTCCTTGCATCTGGTTGTCGGAATTACTTTTCGATTTGCACAGAAATAGGAGTTTCTGAAATTCGTGATTGCCACCTTTCGGGAAAAAAGATTGGATGCTTTTTCTTTCTGTGTGCAAATAATCCGACTTTTTTAATATCCACGAAGACAAAATTTTGCGCTCTCGTATTTATTTTATTGTATTACTACCCGGGGGTCAGTCTGTTTTCTTCCTCCAAACTGACACCCAGCCAGGTTTCAATTCTAATCTACCCTTCATATTTTTCAAAATGAAGAATACAATTATCATTTTTGAATTTTTCTTCTTTTTCCAAATTCAGGGCGGGCAATCTTCTTTTTTCCTTTTGACTAGTACCTTACCTGTCCTAGGGGAAAGGGAGATTGCAGTCTGAATACATTGTGTGCCTGCCTGTTTTCTTTCCTCCTCTCCTTCGTGTTTCTGCAGCACACTGGTTGGGTAAGTGCCACATCAGCCAGCACCATGTCAGCAGAGTGCCACGTCAGCAGAGTGCCATGTCAGCAGAGGTGCCATGTGAGCAGTTTGCCATGCCAGCCCTAGAGGCAGGACAACAGTCTGCGGACCCTGTTTCCTCGCCTTGGCAGAAGCGCTGGACGGTCGTAGTCAGGCGGCAGCAGCCTCGAGCAGCAGCCATGGCCGGACCAGCAACCGCTGCGGTGCAGGTGCAGCAGCACTGCAGGTTGGGAGCCCATCTGGGGGTCAAGGCACTCCCTGTCTGCGTCTCCCTGGCATGCCAGGACAGCAACCCAACGAGTCAATGGCGGACTTCCTGCTACGCGTTCAAACCTTCAGCAAGTTCGTGGAAGTCGAACAACGACGTCAAGCAGAAGCTGCGGCTGAACAGCAGTGCCTCCAGGCTGCCACAGCTGCCGAACAGCAGCAAAGGCAGGCCGAAGCCGGAGCAGCACAGCAGTGCAGGCAGGATGAGGCTGCCACAGCCTTGCAATGCCTCTGCAAGGATGCAGCTGGAGTTCTGCAACAGCGGGAGACGGAGTACGCAAAAACTCTCCGGAAATGGCATTTCACCCCGATGGAAAGCAATAGCAATCCGACGGACGCAGAATTGACAAAGGAAGACAACTCCAAGATGATTGCGCAGCTTATCGCAACCTGCAACTGGCAGCACACGGCACTCACACATCATCGGGAAGCACGGGACCACCAAAGAAATCGAGTTCGGCTTGGCACCCACAAGCAGATGGGCAAACGGAGAGGTCACATCAAACGGCTCCCCGACATCGAATTCGCCTACAACACTTTGTACACTCATCCACCCAGATCAGAAGGATTGGGTTGACCGCCTCCCCGACATCGAATTCGCCTACAACACTTCGTTTCACCCGGCGATTGGGGTGACTTCGTTCGAGTCGCACCACGGTGGCCGAAAAGGTCGTATCTTCGCAGATTTGGGAATCTGGCCAAAGCCCGCACAAATATGCAAAGGCTCAGGTCTGCATGCAACAGCAAGTCAATCGTCAACTTGTGCCATGTCCTATCCACGCCCGTGACCTGGTATCGCACTCAAAGACGTCTTGTGCAAACTCCTCCCCAAGTGGTTTGGACCATGGACCATTGTATCAGCTGCTGCGATGAGCCCGACAGCCCATCTTTTGTGATCGACATTCCGCCGCATCTACTGGTCCACCCAGTCTTCCACACCTTTACGCTGGCCACTTACACACCAGCCAAAAGCAACAACTTCCCCCGCCAGCGATCGCAGAACCCTCCCTGTATGGATGGTCATCAGGAGATCGAACAGGTCATCACGAATTGCAAGTACGGCAACAAGCCAATGCAGTACAAGGTCAACTTCAAGCAATGCGACCCTCACAACACACGTTGGATTTCGCGAGCAGACTTGCAGGCTTCCGCACCGCTTATTGAAGCCGGCTACGAGAAGCGATGACTAGCAAAGGAGGCTTCACAACCTCCCCATCCAGCGTGGACTTCGCTCTCCCCCCTCCGACAGAAAGCTTCGCCCTCGCCAGTAGGCTCGGTCTTTCAAGGAGGGGGGTGTGTGGAATGCACCACAGGGGCCCCATCAGGCCCGGTAGTAGGTTAGGGGGTTGGCTAGGATATCACCGGATTCGTTAGTTCCTGATGGGCCTCAGAAGTGGTTCTGTTTCTTTTCCTGGTCGGCCTCAGTCCCTGTTCAGTCTGGTTCAGTGACTTTCCTTTCTGTCCGAGTGTATCCGCCAGTAGAGTAGGGACTGATACAGGTCCCATGGATGTTTCTTAGGCCAGATCCAGCAGGTTACTACATTTTCAGATTCAGCTTTGGCACCGGGTACTACATTTTTCAGACTCAGTTGGGCACCAGAACCACACCTTCAGATCCAGTTTGGGTGCCAGTTCCTTTGCCTTCCTTTGGCCTAGCGCAGTAGGCCCAGCATTATATACAGCTGAGCCAGCCTCATTCTAGGCACGCAGAGTTGCACATAGAGTGGCCTCATTCAGTGCTGGGCGCTCCTCATGTCTGCCAGATCAGTCCCCCTCACCATCTCCCTCGTTGTGTCCCCCCCTTATCAGCCCCTTGAAATCTTAGCAGTCCCCCAAATCTCAGCCTCCCAGTCTGCTGGTCCCTCAGTACCAGTTGCCCGTAGCGTTCTCAAGTCGCCCAGAATTTACCCACGTGCTCCAGCCCCTTTCTTTTATATCGAAGGAATTCCACCATGAACACCAACTGGACGTTATCCAGTGCCCTGTTCCAAAGGACATTAACCATCACCTGCTTGGCCTGCCTTTGCCCTCTCATTTCCCAAAGCCCCAATAGCCCAAAGAATCCCTGCTCGCAAAACCGCCCTATCCGTATGGTCCGTCTGCATTCCTAACAGAATGCGCGAGGCATCCTCTTCCGAAATCTCCAATGGAGGTCGACCCCACCATTCGCAGAATGCCAGCACCACAGGGCATTCTACAAATAGGTGTGGGATGGACTCTATCTGATTACATCCCGCCGCACAGGTTACCCCTTGTACTGGCTCTTAGATGCCAACCACTGCGGAGAGGGATCGCCAGGTGATAAACCATTCACAGCAGCCCCACTTGCTTTTGGTCTGGTAGGTCCCGCAGAATCTTCCCCATAGCTCCTCCACCTTCTGTGGCTCCATCGCTCCAAATGTGCAGCTGGCAACCATTCCCACTTAGCGAATCTTCCCCTAGCCCCTCAGGATATCCACCATGGGTAGCAGTGACTTGTAACTTGGTGGTTACTTGATGAAGCAGGACTTTTTAAGTGTTGTGCTGTAGCATCCGCCATGACCAATCTTGCGGGTTCACCACCGAGGTACGCCTAGAATGCTGACTGAATTCCACATGGGTGCCTTCCTGGTTAGACAAACCGAGACCGTTTCCACATCAAATCCACTGTTACGGTCCGAGGCGCAGCCATATCCCTATCCAGAGGCTTCCCAAATCCCGACCAATTTGTGGCATTGACCCACTGCAACACTGTCAGCTCCCCATGGGGCCTAATTTCCTCCACCTGGTACAAATATTGCGGGGACTGTTCCCCTTTCTGTTCAACCCAAGGCCCGCATGCCACCGGGGGACCTCGCAGCATCTCCGCCCGTTGATTCAGAACTGCTTGGCAAGGAATCAGAAACCGATCCTCCCCCTGCACCTGCCATGGGAGCAGCACCGCCATCTGCTGCGGGCTACACCGGTCCTGCCTGTCCTTGCCTCATAAATGACCGACGTAGAAAACCCGGCACTCCGCCCACTGCCTACCAAAGCCCCCCCTCATCCCCTGCCAGGGGAACAAGTCTCCTCACGAGTCACAAATATAAAGATTTTCAAATAAGTATTGATTAAAGACTTCATCCCGTGGTGGTGGGGGGGGGACAGGGGAACCGACCATACCGCACCCCTCTGGACATGGCCCAGAAAGCAGACGCTTGAGAGGCTAAGGTCCACCATGTGTGGGGGCGCCTCAGAGCGTGCACCAATGCTATCCCTGTCCATGTTTACCCTGTGTACCCCAGGAGCTACCACAGCAAACTGCGGAGTTGTAAAAAGCCATTATCTGCAGTTGCGCGTCCATAATGCCCAATCCGATAATGGCCAATCCCCCACATGCTTCGGCTGAACAAACTTGAGCCAGGCGACCGGAACAATGCCGTCAAAAGCATTCATGTCACTGGCCCAAAGGAATCCCTAGATCGCCTATCTCAATACCTGGAACGTTCGATTGTTTGGCATACGGAATGCTCCCACACACCAGATTGCAGGCAGCACCGCGTTCTTAATGACAAACGCCTTCCCATAGCAACCCATTGATGTTCTGGTATGCCAAGCCGCCAACTTTGCCACCACCCAGCAGCCGAACTCGCCGTTTGGGTACATCTGCTTCCCGCACGTGTCACTATGGCACCCAAGAAGCATACCTGGTGTCCCTCATGTCATGTAGGTACATCCCACCCGTTGGGGGGGGGGAGGGCAGTCCAATGGGAGCGCCACACCTGATTTACACCAATTTACTTTGGCCACTGAGTACCTGCAGAAGGTCGCCAGGTCCCTCTTCAAGAACTGCAGCTGTTGTCCCGTAGGTAGGGTAATCTCCCCCATATCATCTGCAAACATGGTGGACTTTAGCACCTCGCAAGTCCCTACTTCTAGCCCCTGCAGCTGCCCATCTGCCTGAAGGATGTCATGGAACACCTCAATGTAAAGCACATGAAGGGCCGGCAAAAACAGGCACCCCTGAGTCACTGATCGAGAAACACGAATCGGCCGGGATCTCACCCTATTGACTTGCCCCGTCTGTGCGGAGGCCAGCAGCAGGCGAGTCCATCCACAAAACCTTGCCCCGATGCCTCTGTGTTGCATGCTACAACAGAGGAACTCATCGTCGGCCTTTTCTAAATCCAACATAATGAAAACCAGATGTTGACCCACCCTCTCTGCCCTTTCCATGACCTGTCAGGTGAGCATGATGTTTGAGACCATCTGACCCAGTTTGAGAAGGGTGGCTGAGGGCCGGGAGAACTGGACTCGGTCTATTTGCTAACATTTTAGCTAGGATCTAATATAGCGCATTCAAAACAGATTTCTCACGTTCTCCCTCTCCCCCTTCTTGTAAAACAGCACCACAAAGGTGTCTGCAAAGCCCTGTGGGGTCACATCATCCGTCAAGGCTTGGTTATAGGCGTCAGTCAGGCGGCTGCTTAAGTTCCTTATACAGTTCAACCAGCACCCCATCAAGGCCTGCAGCCTGCAAGCGCAGGAGCTCCATAATGGCCGCATCACCTCATCCTCCACAATTCGCTGCTCCAACTCGTTACTAGCCCGCTGGTCCAACCTCTCCTTTACTGCATGTCAAACCTCCTCAGCCCGTTGATTCCTCATCCCTTCTGGGGAACAGCACTCTTCTTCCGTGAGCACATCAGTATAGTACTCCACCCCGCTGTCCAAGATCCCTCGAGTGGTCTACCTTTGGTCCTCAGGGGGGCCGAAAGGCTTCTGCATGGCAGTCATCAACAAGGAGGAATTTTTCCTTCCTTTTTGTGTGAAGAACCGGTGATTCATGTATTCCCCCACCAACAGCCACACCTCCTTAGTCCACATTCCCTTCATGCTCTGATCGCCTCCACCCTCTCTTCCCATCATACTTGAACCTCCTGGCCCTCCTCTGGACCTTTGTCTAGGGATGTCAATCGCTCCACAAACTCATGTCCGGTTCTCACATGCTCCTCATATTTCCCCTTAAGCCTAATCCTCGGGTGCTCCCGCATAACTTGTAGTCCTCGCCTGATCCATTCCAACTGGAAGCAGCCCTGCGACTTTCTCCTAAACCAGTTGGTCCCAATGCTGCCATATCAGCCACGCAAATTCCTGGTTGTGTAACACCCACACCGACACTTTGCCCAGCTCCAATTTCCCCACCGTAAATGCAGCCTGTACCATCAGGTGATCAGAGAGCACAATTTCTTCAATCTGGATCCGCTCGCATGCCTGCTGAAGTTCCTCGGTAGCCCAAATCGTATCCAACCGGCTGCGCCCCTCCGCTCTTGGTCCAACGTACGCATATCCTGGCGTGTGTGCGAACATACTCCTATACACATCACGACACCCCAGCTCTGCCATCCCCAACTGCAAGGCATCTGAATCAGGTGTAACCTGCCTGCCACTTAAGGAAACCAAGCCTGGTGTCAAAACCATGTTGAAGTCCCCGAACATGATCAGCTGCTGCACATCCGGTACTAATGACAGCAAACTGCTCCACATGCGTCTCCAATCCCCCACCTCAGAGGGGTAGTACAGTGTGGCAATACCCATCTGACCTCCCCCTACTGCACAATTACTCACACCCACCTGCCCTTGGTATAAAAGGACCAATCCACCATTTCTGCCCGGAAATGTGGAGAGATGAGGATGGCTACTGCCCCGGTCAGGCACCCACACTTGATGCCCTTTCCACCAAAGGGCAGGGGTACTCCACTGCACATCATCCAACGTCATCTCTCGAAGACACCATGTCCTTCACACAGTTTTTCAGTGGGAGCACTGTGTGACCACTTATTTTCTCACAGACCATGGCAGTCGCACAGCATGCCTACCCCGATGCATTGCAAGCGACGCTGCAACTAGTTCGACAGTTGACCAGGGGCAATGATAAGATGAAATGTCACGCAAACCACGTTCCAGACCTCAACAAACATTCTACATGTCATTGCTCCTGGTTGACTGTTGAAATTGTTGCAATGGAAAGAGGAAAATTGGTTTTCTACATTGTTGGTCCCCGGTCCAACTAGTAGTTCGACAGTTGACCAGGCCCTCCTCCATTCGGGACCCTCCCAGTCGGATCAGCCGGTGGACCGGCCCAGCTCCCCCTCGGGCGGCCCTAGAGCATCACTGCTTGAGGGGTTACCGGGGTAAAAATACCACGACCAGCCTCCCACAGCTTCACGGAGGGCAAGCAGGAGGAATGAAAACCAGGTCCAGTAGGCCCCTTTGTGAACTGAAAAAGGGCGGCCGATCTGGGCTGCCGATCCCAAGAGATCCGAGACCCAGATCGGATGCCCCTTTCAAAAACTCCAAACTCCCGCCAAAGATCTTGGGCGGGAACTCCTGCCCCACTTTGTCCATGTCGTGCCTCCTGCTGCCCCCTTGCGCCCCACTTTGTCCGTGTCGTGCCTCCTGCTGCCCCCTTGCTTGTGCCTCCCCCTACCCACATTCTCCAACCCGTTCGCACTTGCGACTGCCGCCAGTCACTCATGCCACACCCAGTTCGTCACTCCCTTCCGCCCTAACGCTGCAAACTTCAACATGTGTGCAATTGCCTGCTGGAGCTGCAGGCGCGCTGGAGATGCCAGAGCGCCATCTGGTGAGGGCCGGGGTGCTCTTCTTCTTCTTCTTGAAAAAGAGAGACAGAGAGAGAGAGAGAACAGTTTGTGTGATTTGTTCCCCGCAGTCCTCCACCTTCTTCATCTTCTTCTCATCATCTTCTTTTCTTCTTTATCATTAGTTTCTTATTCGTCTTCTTTATCATCTCATCTCTACCTCTCCTCCTCTTCTTCTTCTCCTTTTCTTCTTCTTCTCCCTTTCTTCTTGGTCCTCTAGTTTTCCATCCTCCCCCTTCACCCCACTGCCCACCATAGAAAGTTAGCAGAAACTCGACGTCCATCCCCCAATAACACCCAGTTGCGACCCCCGCCTCTTGCTAATTTGCCTCCCCATCCCATCCCGTTCCAGCCTCCGCCCGTCTGCCTCCCCCCTCTCCTATCGGACTCGCTCGTTGCCTTTTGTTCTCCTCCTATTGACTGCCGCTTGTCCCCTATCGGCCCCACCCCCCATTGCTCCTCCCCCATCATTATACCCGCGTCAGTCTTGCGTCTGCTTCTTCTCCTCCTAC